AAGGCTAAGAATGTTCTTGAAGTTCTTCCCTCAGTTATCCAATGATTCTCATGAATTTAACAAAAGTGAGATTCAACGGATTGCAGACAAATTTGCTACCTTTGATATACCTGGGAATGATACATTTGGCCCTTATGATCTGCTTAATTTTACTGTCAATGGACCTTATTTAAACAGTAAGCGCTGATACTTCTCAATAAAAGCAATCTTTGCTCTAAAATTGGGTTGAATTGAATTGAAAATTTTATTACTGTAGTGCCACTTCCATCTTTAAAGGGTAAAGGAATGAGCAAAGGCGCCTTGGCTGGAATCGTGTTGGGGTCCATCTTCTGTGCCAGCATGGTACTTTTAGGTGTCGTACTTTTACTCTTAAAGAAGAATCAGCAGCTCCCACTCAATGCTGTGAAAGATAAATCACGTGAGTCGTGCTTTATTATTCACATTAACAGGTCTTTTATTCATTAACATTATACATGACTTCTATCCATACTTCTTGTTTGTTTGTTAGTCGGAAAAGTTACAATAATAATGGATGGAGTGAAGGCATTCAGCTTTAAAGAGTTGCAAGCAGCAACAAGCGGATTTAACATTGCTACTCAAGTTGGCGAAGGAGGATACGGAAAGGTCTCTAAAGGTACTTTAGCGGATGGCACAGTTGTCGCTATAAAGCGTGCACAACAAGGTTCTTTGCAGGGTGAAAAAGAGTTCTACACTGAGATAGAAATGTTGTCTCGTTTACATCACAGAAATCTGGTTTCATTGGTTGGATATTGTGATGAGGAGGACGAACAGGTACAATTCAATCTCAAATATATCTTCTATATATCAGTACTTGGAGTGAACTTACCTTGATCAGTTCATGAAATGAACTTCATCTAATATTAGTTTATTCTTTCTTTGTCTTCTTTGTGCATACAGATGTTGGTATATGAGTTCATGCCAAATGGCTCATTACATGACCTCCTATCTGGTAATGATCCATTCTTCTTATTGTCGGTGTTTATGTTTCTACTCAATCTTGTTTATTCAGTTATTCAATTTCCCTAAATTTATGTTTTCAAGTAAAAATTTCACTCGTTTTAACAGCTAGGTATAGATCACCTCTAAGTTTTGCGACAAGATTGCATATTGCACTAGGTTCGGCAAGAGGAATTCTTTACCTCCATACAGAAGCTGATCCTCCTATCATTCATCGCGATATCAAGGCAAACAACATATTGTTGGACTCTAAGTGGACAGCCAAAGTATCTGATTTTGGAATCTCAAAGCTTGCACCAGTATCAGATGTAAAAGGAGTTACAGAAACACACATCTCCACCAATGTGAAAGGAACACCGGTAAGATGAACTCTACCTTTGGATTCCGGGACTTTGTAAACGATAATGAAATGAACAAATCGAAAGGCTCGTTCCCAGTAAATGTTGGGCTATCTACAAGAATTTTATTTTTGTCATTGCACTAGGTTTCATGTCATAAGTCAGTCAAAAATTTTATTCTAGATTAAACTACTAAAACCCTCCTTTACTTGGCTTCGAACTGGATGAAAAACAATAATTTGTTTCTAACTCAACGAGATCCCTTGAGAGAGCAACTCAAGAGGATCACTACGAGATTGATGGAGTGATGTTCAAGGGATATATTGTTTCGACAGTTTTAATATTCTTCACAGACGTCATTCTCTTAAAATTTCTACTCAAGCATTGGACTTTACCAACCAAAGGAAGTATAGTATAAGAAGTGATTTTAAGATGACCATAATTACTAGGGGGTGTCAAACTTAGTTGTTTGAGGAAGTGTATCTTAGAAATTTACTCAGTGAAACTTTCATGCTGCATATTTAGGTTGTGTCATGTTCAGTGTGTTCATGAAACATAGGATTAGCAGCAATTTTAATTGCACTAGTATTATCAGCATGAAGTGGAGTAGGCTTAAGTTGAAGACAATCAAGCTTTGCTAGAAGGCCTCATAGCCAAACAGTCTCAGAACAGAAAGAAGACAAAGCACGATATTCAGATTCAGTGGAAGATTTAGAGACACGATCCTGTTTCTTGCTTTACCAGGAAATTAGCGCACTCCCAAGAAATATGCACCAACCTGTAATCAAGAAACGCGTATTCACGTATCCTGCCTAATCCGCATCACTATATCCTATTATCTCAAGAGAAGAATTTGTAGAAAAGAAAAGACCCCTATCTGATGTACTAGCAAGTATCGTATAATGTGACGAACCGCAGTAAGATGAAGATGTTATGGGGCATGGATAAATTGACAGACCTGTTGTACAACAAAAAAGATGTCGGGTCATGTAATAGTGAGGTAACCATTAGTCCCCTATTAAATTATATTCCATTTTTCTTTCTCATATTTTCAATCACACAATCTTCCATAAAATTATATTATACATAAATCGAAATTTTATTTTCAACCACTCATTTTTAAAAAAAAAAAATTATTTTATCCATTTTCATTTTCAAAAAATGGGGACCAAAAGGGATTAAGCCACTGGCTGGCGATATAGAGAGAGATTAGGAAAGAGATCACCTTCCTCCTTATGATACTTCACATTCACTTCGAAAGGAGTATCAACAAAGCGGCCATCCAGAAGTCCAGCTAAAGTAATCAACTTCTCCAAATACTTGTGCTGATGCAGAAAAGTTCCAGCTAGACTTGAAAGCACTTCAAGACCTAAAAAATGCTGTAAGGGGCCCAAATCTTTCATATGGAAAGAATCCTTCAGTTGGTTTTGAAGTTGAGATATCAATCCAAGGTCAGTCGCAGTAATAAAAATATCATCAACATAGATAAAAAAAGCACAGTACCTACTTTGGTGGAAGAGATGAAGAGAGACGAATCATATTTGCTCGGGTAAATAAGTATTCCAAAAGAGTAGAACGAAACTTGTCAAACCAAGGATGAGGAGCTTGCTTCAACCCACAAAGCGAGTGCTTTAGTTACACACATTGGAAGATAGCCATGAAAAGATACCCGAAGGATGTGTCATAAAAATATCTTTCTTAAGGTCATCATGTAAGAAAGCATTCTTGACATCTATCTGTCACAAAGGATATTCCCTAGAGGCAGCTATAGCCAGAATAGTTCAAACCGTCGTCATTTTGGCAACTAGGGCAAATGTCTCTTCATAGTCCATCCCATATTCTTGACGATTCCCAAGAGCCACCAACCGAGCTTTATAACGCTTCAGCGATACATCAGATCGAAATTTAATAGAATAGACTCATTTGCATCCCGTAGGTCAAATACAAGAAGGGCAAGAAACAATATCCATAGCTTTTACCTAACAGAGTTGAGTAGTAGCCTAAGAATAAGAAGTAGGAAATGTGAAATGAGATAAACTTGCAGAGAAGCCTTACTGAATAGGAGATAAGTAAAGCCGGTGGATCGTCGAAGAATAGCAGAGTCTGGGATAGAATCGGGATTGGGAACGAGAAGGGACAGTCGGTTTGGGGGCCGTCTTCTTTGATATGCCATACCTGGTTTAGAACGCTCCACAGAACTAGAGTCATTCTCAAAGCTAATAAGCGAAACCAAATCAGAAGATTAAACAACATGTTGTTGGATGTAGTACTTATTCTAAAGAAAATCACGTTGCAAGAAATACCAAAACGATTAGCAACACCATCATAACGAATGAAGCCTTTTTGAGCAATGTCGTAACCTATGAAAGCACACTGTACGAATTGAGCACCAAGCTTATGACGTTCATGAGGATGTAAATGAACAAAACAAATACATTCAAAAGTGTGCAACTGCCATAGCCAAAATGTGTACCGTACAAGCAAACATAAGGTGAGTCAAAATCCAAATGCTGAGCAGGAAGTCGATTAATCAGATATACAGCTCTGGAAAGGGCTTTGACCCAAAATTTAGATGGAATCGAAGATTTCAAGAGTAAAACTCTAACAACATTCAATAGGTGATGATTCTTTCTTTTTGCCACTCCATTTTGTTAAGAGATATATGGACAAGAGCGTTGAGAGAGAATACCTTTATGTTGTAAGAATGATTAAAATTGATGAGACATATATTCCCCATTGTTGTCAGACCTTAATATTCGAATTCTAGAAGAGAATTTCGTGTCAGTGTAAGCTATAAAAGTTTGAAGAATGGCGCCAACCTTACTTTTAGAGCACAGAAAATATATCCAAGTGTAACAACTGGAATCATCAATAAACATCACAAAGTACTTATAATAAGTATGCGAAGTCATAGGTGTTACATCCCAAACATCACTATGATTAATCTTAAAGCATTTATCAGCACGACTACCATAAGTTGGAAATAGAAGAGTCTTACTTTTTCTAAGTTTACAAGTATCACAATTGAAAGATAAATTGGAAAACTAAAACTTATCTTTAATGCCAAAAAAAAAAAAAAAAAAAAACCCACTTCAAAAAATGAGATAAAATTAAAGTATTGGGATGACCTAATGGTTTATGCCAAATTTCATTTTTAAACCTATCACTAATACATGCCAAAGACATAGCAGGATGACTATTAAATTGTCATGGGAACAATTTTCCGGAATCAACTAATTGACCAATCGAGAGAAACACACATCACAGTTATTATCAACTAATTAACCAACCGAAATTAAGTTTGTAGATAAGCCTAGAGATACATAAACATTATCAAAAGAAAGGCCTAGTATTACCAACAGTAGTAATAAGAAGAGTATTGCCATCAGTAATCTGAATTGTTGTGTGCTAGTATATTGTCAAATGTTATGCAAGGAATTAGAACTACTTACCATATGATTCGATGTCCTTGAATCAATAAACCAAGGAGAAGAAGCAATGGGACCTTTACCTTGTAAGCCCATGGCAAAGAAGGCATAAACAATCATCTGCTTGACCATTTTTAGGATTAAATTGTTAACTGATGGTAGCTTGCAGAAGTGTCAGATTAGTACCTAGTGCAACGACTTGAAATACATTAGCTTTTCGATGTGGAGGTTGTGTGGGATAGTCTTTCACGATATACCCTAGTTGTATAGAGTAATTGTAGACTTTTGGAGGACAGTTAGGAGCAATATGCCCTTATCCTTTGCAACGAAAACACTGTAGTTTATCCCTTCCCCATCCTTGGGCAACATATGCAATGGTGGCCACATTAGATGAGGAAAAATCAAATCAAATAATAGTTTGTGTAGCTAGTTGTTCCTCAAGTAAAAGTTCACCCAAACACACATCTAAAGAGGGAATCGGATCTCGATTCATTAAACCTGCTTGGACCACTTCAAATTCGGGTCATAATTTCATAAGAAATTGATCCTTATTGCTAACCTCTTGAACATCTCATAGTGCAGATAAGGCCGCAGCAGAGACCTTAGCATTAATTATTCTGGAGTACTTGCTCCATAAGTTCAGGAAACTAGAATACTATTGCTAAATAGTAAGATTACCTTGAGTGTAGTTAGCAATTTCTAACTCCAATTGAAAGCATCGTGTATTATTGTCTTGACAATAAATCCACTTCAAGTATTTCTGCATCTCCTTAGTCGTAGTGAAAGAGCGTAAATTATTCACCATGTGGGACTCTATGGATCCCAAAATCCAAGAGATAGTACAAGCATAATTTGTTTTCCATGTACTGAGATCTTTAGTATCTTCAGCTGCCTTAGAAAACCCATCAATATGACCCAAAAACTCCTTTCCTTTTAAGAATATCTTGAACTGAATTCCCATATTATATAATTTTTCCTGTAAACTTAACATAGAACGCATCAATCGGCAGAACTTTGTAATATAGAAGATTACAAAATATAACCCAAACAAAATCAGCCCACACAAGGAAGTAGGATGCAGCCTAAATTAATTGCCACCCAAAATCAGCCTACAAAAAAAATAAAAATAAAAATAAAATAAAATGGCAAGCCCATTCAAAACAAAAACAGCCCACAAGTTAAAAACACACAGGTTATGCTCGAGGCCCAAACCATCGAAGTTATGAACTTCGGAGACACTCGAATACCCAGACACGCGATTCCACATAATTAGTGTCGACCAGCCAAGAAATGCTTGAAATCACATCAAGCCCACACACAGGATGCCGAAATCCCGGTGATTACACACAAAGAGATGCCAGAAAAGAAACCCCGTTGCTCACCCAAGAGATGCCGAGAATCGTGTTGATTACAGGCAGGAGATCACCCACAGAGACGTTTGAGAGTCTTTCTAATCACCCAGAACCAAATTATGCTAAAGTGGTGGCTTCAACCGGAGACCTATCGTTCTAAAAATCTGTAAAATGCCATCGAAAAATCTGTTGAACCAAATTGTCGACCACGAAGGTGAGAACAACTGAACGACAGTAGAAGATTCAAAAATTTCATCTATAGGTATGGCTTTGTTACCACATCAAAGTTTGGTTGAATGATCTTCCCCATTTGGTATACATTGCATTATATAGATGGATATCTTCTCCATTTGGTATGCATTGCATTTTATAGATGGATATTACAAACGTATATGGTAATATGATACAATTTTTGATAAACTGTAATTACTACTTGGTCACAACAATTATTTTTGCATTCTATTTTCATATCCCTTTGGCATTAAAACAATGTTTTTACTTATATGCAGGGTTATCTTGATCCAGAATACTTTTTGACCCACAAGTTAACGGAAAAAAGCGATGTTTATAGCCTTGGTGTAGTATTTCTAGAACTCTTATCAGGGAGGCAACCTATATCTCATGGACGGAACCTTGTGAGAGAGGTATCACAGGATTTCACTATGCTATCATATAAACTCTATTGAGGATTTCATATAAGTTTGCCTATATTCATTTTAAGATCATATGCTTACTTGATTGGACGAATGAGAAAGATTATACAATAGATTTATGAATTTCTAATTTGTGTGAAGATGCATTATGAGCATTCAAGTTCTTGCTTTTTCTTTTATAACATCGTCTAATTAACTTCCACGCTATGTACTTACAGGTTAACATGGCATGTCAATCTGGAATGATGTTTTCCATCATAGACGAGAGTATGGGGCCATATCCTTCAGAGTGTATAAAGAAATTTATGCAATTGGCCATCATGTGTTCTCAAAATGAAATGAAGGGTAGACCTTCTATGTTGGAAGTGGTGAGAGAGCTCGAAAACATATCTTCAGCACTTCTAGAATGTGACAACACTACATTGGAGTTAAACTTAAATACCATAACTTCTGAATCCTCACCCTCAGCATCAGCCCCATCATCTTCAATCTATTCTAAAACTCGTACTTATGTCTCCAACAATCTCCCTGGAAGTAACCTTGTTAGTGACTTTTTCCCTACCATCAATCCTCGTTGACTAGTTCAATAATGATCATAGATCAGTTGCACTCTTAAACTATCACTGTTTGAAAGATACACAATTTGTTTTCATTTAATTTAAATTTTTCCATATGGATCTTAGCTTGTAAACTTTAACAATGCCTTTGGGTTAAAGAAAATGCTGCTGTAATTTTACTTTTATTATGTCCTTTCTATTTTCATTTGAAGAAACTTGAATGGCACTAACATCATATAGCTGCTTAAGGATGGTATTCCTCGTATTATCCCATTAGTGTTTTTAAATTTAGAATAATAGTTCATCATTTTAGATCGTGTTTTCATCTTTTTACCTAAATTGAGTATTTCATTTATACACTAACATTCTCACACTCACATTTCCCTTAACATTTTTAGGTTATCGAACCCCGTTGCTTGGCCTCCAACACTAACTGGAAGCTTCTACACTCTTGGCTTTTCTATAAAAATTCCTTATATAATGTGTTGGAAATACATCATAATGCTGCTTAATGTAAGTCTTTCACATTAATTTAAAATCTTGTGGTGAGACCAGATTATCATCATGTCCTATCAACGCAAGAATTTAAACCCAAGTATGAATTTACAGGGTAACAACTTATACTGTCTTTTCTCATTAAAAAAAAAATAAAAAAGAAAGAAAGAAAGAAAAAAAGAGTACATATTCTTTTTATTAATGATTAACTAACAGAATAAAGGGAAGATTACTTGGAAGTTGGAAGTAGCCTTGGTAGTTTGCAATTCACCAGCCACTCTCTCTCTCTCTCTCTCTTCGGCCGATCCTTCATCAATAGTACCTGCCTCATTTTGATCAACACTCCGTCAACCTTGCCAATATCATAAATGACATTCCTTCAAGAATATTGTTCAAGCATCTTAAAACCACAACCAAGGACTTAAATACAACTGGTGAAACTCACTCGAGTTTCAAAAACTCGATCCCATTCAAGAATCAAGAATCTTATGATCGAAAATCGAAATAACATGGAACAACATCTTGACAATGTACCTGTATTGTGCTTGGAGGAAGAAAAAATAGAGAATTAGATCTGTAATAGACAAAATATACGAGGGCAAATTCTTCAAATGGAATCTAAAACCTTAGTCAATGGTAGAGTACAATAGACGAGTGAATTTGTGACAGTGATTTTAGTTAGTACTATAACATTGTTGGGGGCATTTGACATTGCGGTCCGTAACTTTACCCCATATATCAAATTACTTTTTAATCAAACTTTTTTAGCCTTCAAAACTCCAAACTACGCATTTAAGCCAATAAAAATTAAATCCATACACGTAATGTCAATTTTTTGGCCACATGACAACTTATTTGAAAGTTATTTTTGTCAATTCACTTCATTTCCCTCTATTATTCCACTACTAGAATTGACCAAGTCAATAAAAACAAAGAGACGGGACTAGTCCTAAAAATGAGCATGTAGGCCAAACTGAAGTAAAATCAAGTAAATACATATAATTCAATCACATGGAAAAAGGTACAAGCCAAGTCAGAACAAAAATGCCTGGTTAGAATTATTTTGAAGATAAATAACTACAACATGAGATTAATGCACTAATTTTGTCCTATCCTATCAGCCTTTGTCAATCATAGAGAATCCTCCAGGCCTCAACAAATGATCTATATCTTGAGCCCACAAAAAGTGGCAATAGGGGTATAAACGCCTGCCATAAATTTGAGCCAAACATTCTCTCCAAGTCTAGTTTCCATTCTTCACTTTTACTCTCCTTGCATCAAGAATTCTCAGTGATTTGAGCATCAAGGTATCAACAACCAACAATCCCCATCTTTGGAAGGCTGGGGAAAAATTGCCCTGTTTTATAGAGTCAGCTGCCAAATCGTTCATCTCCTTAATATAGAAACTTCATCAAAATATGGCATCAACAAAAAGGCGCCATCTACGAAAGACCAAAAAAAACCACTTGAAAAAATGAGCAATAACCACCCAGGAAACAGAAATAGAATGACAATTTCATCCACAAATTGCGCAAAAGTATGTCACATTGATGACTTGCATAACCCGAGCAAAAGGAAAGTGCCCGAAATGAACAAATGGAGGCAGAATGATGGAACCTTAAGCAAAGTAGCATAATTCTTCACTTAACAGGAACTCACTGGATGAAAACTAACTACATAATAACTACACTTCATAATTTGATAAAACATCTAGTGGAATTCAAAAACACATACTTCAACAAAATCAGCCAACTTAAAACATAATATGTCAATTTATAATGGGGTCTTTAAATAATAATAGATATCATAACAACGAAGATACCTATAAAATCAAGCACAAGAATAAATCCAATGATTGGGTATAAATAACCAACATTGATAAAATCAATCTAAATACACCTATAGACATTATTTGTTTCTTTGTTTTTCCTCCTTCTGTCGTTGGTTAATTAAGAGAAACAATAGAAAATCCGACAAAGAAATCAACCTCATAGACTTGTATTCCTCTATGTTACATTTTCAATTAGCTAGGAATGTGGACATGAGGTCTTTCGGAAGGTATACCAAGTACGAATCTTAGAATTCTTCAAACAACAGATAGATTTTGATCTTTTAATGTCCTATTTTTGCACGCTTCATTCCACTGGTATTAAAAGGTGAGACGCTGTCACCTGGTCCAGGACTCTCTTCTTTGAAATTTGAATTTAGCAGGGCTAGTTCATGCAATTGCTGCCTTTCCTGTACAAAAATGAAAACATAGTAATGGATTATTCTTAATATGCGTGATTTTACATGTTTCAGCTTGTGTAGTTCTGGTCGGCAATTCGGTAGATTACCATTTATGTCTTTATTGGGTAGTGAATGGCTCAAAGAAACGAAGTTGTTTGATTTTTCAAAGAAAGATTGGTTAGAGATTAATACCACAGGTCTGACCAGTTCTTCTATTATCTCTTGTGCTTGCCTCAGTCTGATATCAACAACATTAACAGGTAAATCATCCTCAACCAAGATGTGGAAAGGTTCATTCAAATGTTCATAACCTGGCCGTCCCCATAGTTTTTCTTCCTTAACATTGACAGGCACAAAGTGAATCAAATACAGTTAGTAATTTAAGACAAAAATAATTAAGTGGCTATAAGTATGAATCTCTAGAATGAATTATACAATACCATCTCTAATTACGTCAACATAATAGGTGTTTCAGCTAGATTTTGAAGTCAATATATTAGATTAACAATTATAATAATTTGGAGGAACAAAGAATTTAAGCCTCAACTTCGTGAGGGAGTTGGGTCAAACAAAACGTTACTGCAAAAAATTCATATAGTCAACTCTTAAGATTATTGAGAATAAAGTTAACCTTGAATACAAGCTTGCCCTTTTTCCTTTCCATTGAGGTTTACAATTATAATGTTTGGCTGCTGGGAATCATTGCAAAAGCATGTATCATAGCATAGCCATTCAAAGAAGTTGCCAAAAGTTAAAGAGCAAAAAGTAAACAAGAAATCTAAGAATTGGTCCCATAATCCTTTCATCATTAACTTGAAGGTTTAAATTTATCACAGGATCACAAGGAAAAGCTTTAAAAAACTCGATTTTGAATTACAAGATTTCTAGATCCCAAAGGATGGAAACCTAGTAGGATACTATATTTTGAAAATCAGATCAATGACAGCTCTAATGTGGAATTGCCTATTTGAGTTTCAGGCTATAAAAGTAAAATCAAAGGAGCCTTCTTTCGTGAATAGAACTCCAAATTACCCCTCTTTACTTTTTGGGAGGAAATGAACAAATAATATCTTGAGGTATTCTGAAATTTTCTACATGATTCAATTTATACGCAACATGCTAAATTAAGTTATGATGTCATTGTTTTCATGGTTGAGATTATGATTTCTGCTTTCATGTTTCTCAGGAACAGGCATTAAAAGAAGCAGCAGTGTTAGCTGCTTACTTTTTTCTTGACCCTTTCGTTGTGTGCATCATTCGCAGGTTTTCAATCAACTATATAGCTACTTCATAATGAGTCTTCATAAGTAATAATGAACACCACAAAAATGCATCACAGTATGGTGAGATCCCTTGCATTACCTTGTCTGGGTCCTTTATTGAACCTTCTCCTCTAATATACACGCGGCATCCTGTAGTGGCTTCCACTCGTTTAAGTGAATTTCCTCTAGGACCCAAAAGCCGCCCAACAAAATTGAACTAAGAATCCACGAAGTAGTAATTTAGATAATAATGGAATGAGAAGCACTATAGATTTAAGAAATGAAAATGAACTGAACATTCCTAGAAAAGTAGAACAACAAACAATCTTACATTTGGATAATTCTCAACAGGAATTTCTAGGCGAACAATTCGTTTTACAGTGTATGAACTCGGACTTGCCGGTGCTCCTTGCCAGTCCATTATCATTCCTGTAGGTCCACTCAGTCTCTGCCATGTAAAGAAGAATTAAGAAGGTGTCTCCTTATCTTAAAGTATAAAAAAGAAGATATATCCAAAGAGAGAAAAAAAGGGAAGCATCATCATGGTACCAAGACAACATAGAACTATAAAATATAACAATTAACTTTTGCAAAAGCAAATAAATTATTCCAAGAGTTCCAACTCGAAAATATACATTAAAATCTCCTCATTTTTTGATAAATAAAAACTTTTAAATGTAAATTTTATAAAATAAAAAAATAAAAAAAAAAAAAAAGATGTCGGGTCATGTAATAGTGAGGTAACCATTAGTCCCCTATTAAATTATATTCCATTTTTCTTTCTCATATTTTCAATCACACAATCTTCCATAAAATTATATTATACATAAATCGAAATTTTATTTTCAACCACTCATTTTTAAAAAAAAAAAATTATTTTATCCATTTTCATTTTCAAAAAATGGGGACCAAAAGGGATTAAGCCACTGGCTGGCGATATAGAGAGAGATTAGGAAAGAGATCACCTTCCTCCTTATGATACTTCACATTCACTTCGAAAGGAGTATCAACAAAGCGGCCATCCAGAAGTCCAGCTAAAGTAATCAACTTCTCCAAATACTTGTGCTGATGCAGAAAAGTTCCAGCTAGACTTGAAAGCACTTCAAGACCTAAAAAATGCTGTAAGGGGCCCAAATCTTTCATATGGAAAGAATCCTTCAGTTGGTTTTGAAGTTGAGATATCAATCCAAGGTCAGTCGCAGTAATAAAAATATCATCAACATAGATAAAAAAAGCACAGTACCTACTTTGGTGGAAGAGATGAAGAGAGACGAATCATATTTGCTCGGGTAAATAAGTATTCCAAAAGAGTAGAACGAAACTTGTCAAACCAAGGATGAGGAGCTTGCTTCAACCCACAAAGCGAGTGCTTTAGTTACACACATTGGAAGATAGCCATGAAAAGATACCCGAAGGATGTGTCATAAAAATATCTTTCTTAAGGTCATCATGTAAGAAAGCATTCTTGACATCTATCTGTCACAAAGGATATTCCCTAGAGGCAGCTATAGCCAGAATAGTTCAAACCGTCGTCATTTTGGCAACTAGGGCAAATGTCTCTTCATAGTCCATCCCATATTCTTGACGATTCCCAAGAGCCACCAACCGAGCTTTATAACGCTTCAGCGATACATCAGATCGAAATTTAATAGAATAGACTCATTTGCATCCCGTAGGTCAAATACAAGAAGGGCAAGAAACAATATCCATAGCTTTTACCTAACAGAGTTGAGTAGTAGCCTAAGAATAAGAAGTAGGAAATGTGAAATGAGATAAACTTGCAGAGAAGCCTTACTGAATAGGAGATAAGTAAAGCCGGTGGATCGTCGAAGAATAGCAGAGTCTGGGATAGAATCGGGATTGGGAACGAGAAGGGACAGTCGGTTTGGGGGCCGTCTTCTTTGATATGCCATACCTGGTTTAGAACGCTCCACAGAACTAGAGTCATTCTCAAAGCTAATAAGCGAAACCAAATCAGAAGATTAAACAACATGTTGTTGGATGTAGTACTTATTCTAAAGAAAATCACGTTGCAAGAAATACCAAAACGATTAGCAACACCATCATAACGAATGAAGCCTTTTTGAGCAATGTCGTAACCTATGAAAGCACACTGTACGAATTGAGCACCAAGCTTATGACGTTCATGAGGATGTAAATGAACAAAACAAATACATTCAAAAGTGTGCAACTGCCATAGCCAAAATGTGTACCGTACAAGCAAACATAAGGTGAGTCAAAATCCAAATGCTGAGCAGGAAGTCGATTAATCAGATATACAGCTCTGGAAAGGGCTTTGACCCAAAATTTAGATGGAATCGAAGATTTCAAGAGTAAAACTCTAACAACATTCAATAGGTGATGATTCTTTCTTTTTGCCACTCCATTTTGTTAAGAGATATATGGACAAGAGCGTTGAGAGAGAATACCTTTATGTTGTAAGAATGATTAAAATTGATGAGACATATATTCCCCATTGTTGTCAGACCTTAATATTCGAATTCTAGAAGAGAATTTCGTGTCAGTGTAAGCTATAAAAGTTTGAAGAATGGCGCCAACCTTACTTTTAGAGCACAGAAAATATATCCAAGTGTAACAACTGGAATCATCAATAAACATCACAAAGTACTTATAATAAGTATGCGAAGTCATAGGTGTTACATCCCAAACATCACTATGATTAATCTTAAAGCATTTATCAGCACGACTACCATAAGTTGGAAATAGAAGAGTCTTACTTTTTCTAAGTTTACAAGTATCACAATTGAAAGATAAATTGGAAAACTAAAACTTATCTTTAATGCCAAAAAAAAAAAAAAAAAACACACTTCAACAAATGAGATAAAATTAAAGTATTGGGATGACCTAATGGTTTATGCCAAATTTCATTTTTAAACCTATCACTAATACATGCCAAAGACATAGCAGGATGACTATTAAATTGTCATGGGAACAATTTTCCGGAATCAACTAATTGACCAATCGAGAGAAACACACATCACAGTTATTATCAACTAATTAACCAACCGAAATTAAGTTTGTAGATAAGCCTAGAGATACATAAACATTATCAAAAGAAAGGCCTAGTATTACCAACAGTAGTAATAAGAAGAGTATTGCCATCAGTAATCTGAATTGTTGTGTGCTAGTATATTGTCAAATGTTATGCAAGGAATTAGAACTACTTACCATATGATTCGATGTCCTTGAATCAATAAACCAAGGAGAAGAAGCAATGGGACCTTTACCTTGTAAGCCCAAGGCAAAGAAGGCATAAACAATCATCTGCTTGACCATTTTTAGGATTAAATTGTTAACTGATGGTAGCTTGCAAAAGTGTCAGATTAGTACCTAGTGCAACGACTTGAAATACATTAGCTTTTCGATGTGGAGGTTGTGTGGGATAGTCTTTCACGATATACCCTACTTGTATAGAGTAATTGTAGACTTTTGGAGGACAGTTAGGAGCAATATGCCCTTATCCTTTGCAGCGAAAACACTGTAGTTTATCCCTTCCCCGTCCTTGGGCAACATATGCAACGGTGGCCACATTAGATGAGGAAAAATCAAATCAAATAATAGTTTGTGTAGCTAGTTGTTCCTCAAGTAAAAGTTCACCCAAACACACATCTAAAGAGGGAATCGGATCTCGATTCATTAAACCTGCTTGGACCACTTCAAATTCGGGTCATAATTTCATAAGAAATTGATCCTTATTGCTAACCTCTTGAACATCTCATAGTGCAGATAAGGCCGCAGCAGAGACCTTAGCATTAATTATTCTGGAGTACTTGCTCCATAAGTTCAGGAAACTAGAATAGTATTGCTAAATAGTAAGATTACCTTGAGTGTAGTTAGCAATTTCTAACTCCAATTGAAAGCGTCGTGTATTATTGTCTTGACAATAAATCCGCTTCAAGTATTTCCGCATCTCCTTAGTCGTAGTGAAAGAGCGTAAATTATTCACCATGTGGGACTCTATGGATCCCAAAATCCAAGAGATAGTACAAGCATAATTTGTTTTCCATGTACTGAGATCTTTAGTATCTTCAACTGCCTTAGAAAACCCATCAATATGACCCAAAAACTCCTTTCCTTTTAAGAATATCTTGAATTGAATTCCCATATTATATAATTTTTCCTGTAAACTTAACATAGAACGCATCAATCGGCAGAACTTTGTAATATAGAAGATTACAAAATATAACCCAAACAAAATCAGCCCACACAAGGAAGTAGGATGCAGCCTAAATTAATTGCCACCCAAAATCAGCCTACAAAAAAAATAAAAATAAAAATAAAATAAAATGGCAAGCCCATTCAAAACAAAAACAGCCCACAAGTTAAAAACACACAGGTTATGCTCGAGGCCCAAACCATCGAAGTTATGAACTTCGGAGACACTCGAATACCCAGACACGCGATTCCACATAATTAGTGTCGACCAGCCAAGAAATGCTTGAAATCACATCAAGCCCACACACAGGATGCCGAAATCCCGGTGATTACACACAAAGAGATGCCAGAAAAGAAACCCCGTTGCTCACCCAAGAGATGCCGAGAATCGTGTTGATTACAGGCAGGAGATCACCCACAGAGATGTTTGAGAGTCTTTCTAATCACCCAGAACCAAATTATGCTAAAGTGGTGGCTTCAATCGGAGACCTATCGTTCTAAAAATCTGTAAAATGCCATCGAAAAATCTGTTGAACCAAATTGTCAACCACGAAGGTGAGAACAACTGAACGACAGTAGAAGATTCAAAAATTTCATCTATAGGTATGGCTTTGATACCACATCAAAGTTTGGTTGAATGATCTTCCCCATTCGGTATACATTGCATTATATAGATGGATATCTTCCCCATTTGGTATGCATTGCATTTTATAGATGGATATTACAAACGTATATGGTAATATGATACAATTTTTGATAAACTGTAATTACTACTTGGTCACAACAATTATTTTTGCATTCTATTTTCATATCCCTTTGGCATTAAAACAATGTTTTTACTTATATGCAGGGTTATCTTGATCCAGAATACTTTTTGACCCACAAGTTAACGGAAAAAAGCGATGTTTATAGCCTTGGTGTAGTATTTCTAGAACTCTTATCAGGGAGGCAACCTATATCTCATGGACGGAACCTTGTGAGAGAGGTATCACAGGATTTCACTATGCTATCATATAAACTCTATTGAGGATTTCATATAAGTTTGCCTTCATTCATTTTAAGATCATATGCTTGCTTGATTGGACGAATGAGAAAGATTATACAATAGATTTATGAATTTCTAATTTGTGTGAAGATGCATTATGAGCATTCAAGTTCTTGCTTTTTCTTTTATAACATCATCTAATTAACTTCCACGATATGTACTTACAGGTTAACATGGCATGTCAATCTGGAATGATGTTTTCCATCATAGACGAGAGTATGGGGCCATATCCTTCAGAGTGTATAAAGAAATTTATGCAATTGGCCATCATGTGTTCTCAAAATGAAATGAAGGGTAGACCTTCTATGTTGGAAGTGGTGAGAGAGCTCGAAAACATATCTTCAGCACTTCTAGAATGTGACAACACTACATTGGAGTTAAACTTAAATACCATAACTTCTGAATCCTCACCCTCAGCATCAGCCCCATCATCTTCAATCTATTCTAAAACTCGTACTTATGTCTCCAACAATCTCCCTGGAAGTAACCTTGTTAGTGACTTTTTCCCTACCATCAATCCTCGTTGACTAGTTCAATAATGATCATAGATCAGTTGCACTCTTAAACTATCACTGTTTGAAAGATACACTATTTCTTTTCATTTAATTTAAAATTTTCCACATGGATCTTAGCTTGTAAACTTTAACAATGCCTTTGGGTTAAAGAAAATGCTGCTGTAATTTTACTTTTATTATGTCCTTTCTATTTTCATTTGAAGAAACTTGAATGGCACTAACATCATATAGCTGCTTAAGGATGGTATTCCTCGTATTATCCCATTAGTGTTTTTAAATTTAGAATAATAGTTCATCATTTTAGATCGTGTTTTCATCTTTTTACCTAAATTGAGTATTTCATTTATACACTAACATTCTCACACTCACATTTCCCTTAACATTTTTAGGTTATCGAACCCCGTTGCTTGGCCTCCAACACTAACTGGAAGCTTCTACACTCTTGGCTTTTCTATAAAAATTCCTTATATAATGTGTTGGAAATACATCATAATGCTGCTTAATGTAAGTCTTTCACATTAATTTAAAATCTTGTGGTGAGACCAGATTATCATCATGTCCTATCAACACAAGAATTTAAACCCAAGTATGAATTTATAGGGTAACAACTTATACTGTCTTTTCTCATTAAAAAAAAATAAAAAAGAAAGAAAGAAAGAAAAAAAGAGTACATATTCTTTTTATTAATGATTAACTAACAGAATAAAGGGAAGATTACTTGGAAGTTGGAAGTAGCCTTGGTAGTTTGCAATTCCCCAGCCACTCTCTCTCTCTCTCTTCGGCCGATCCTTCATCAATAGTACCTGCCTCATTTTGATCAACACTCCGTCAACCTTGCCAATATCATAAATGACATTCCTTCAAGAATATTGTTCAAGCATCTTAAAACCACAACCAAGGACTTAAATACAACTGGTGAAACTCACTCGAGTTTCAAAAACTCGATCCCATTCAAGAATCAAGAATCTTATGATCGAAAATCGAAATAACATGGAACAACATCTTGACAATGTACCTGTATTGTGCTTGGAGGAAGAAAAAATAGAGAATTAGATCTGTAATAGACAAAATATACGAGGGCAAATTCTTCAAATGGAATCTAAAACCTTAGTCAATGGTAGAGTACAATAGACGAGTGAATTTGTGATAGTGATTTTAGTTAGTACTATAACATTGTTGGGGGCATTTGACATTGCGGTCCGTAACTTTACCCCATATATCAAATTACTCTTTAATCAAACTTTTTTAGCCTTCAAAACTCCAAACTACGCATTTAAGCCAATAAAAATTAAATTCATACACGTAATGTCAATTTTTTGGCCACATGACAACTTATTTGAAAGTTATTTTTGTCAATTCACTTCATTTCCCTCTATTATTCCACTACTAGAATTGACCAAGTCAATAAAAACAAAGAGACGGGACTAGTCCTAAAAATGAGCATGTAGGCCAAACTGAAGTAAAATCAAGTAAATACATATAATTCAATCACATGGAAAAAGGTACAAGCCAAGTCAGAACAAAAATGCCTGGTTAGAATTATTTTGAAGATAAATAACTACAACATGAGATTAATGCACTAATTTTGTCCTATCCTATCAGCCTTTGTCAATCATAGAGAATCCTCCAGGCCTTAACAAATGATCTATATCTTGAGCCCACAAAAAGTGGCAATAGGGGTATAAACGCCTGCCATAAATTTAAGCCAAACATTCTCTCCAAGTCTAGTTTCCATTCTTCACTTTTACTCTCCTTGCATCAAGAATTCTCAGTGATTTGAGCATCAAGGTATCAACAACCAACAATCCCCATCTTTGGAAGGCTGGGGAAAAATTGCCCTGTTTTATAGAGTCAGCTGCCAAATCGTTCATCTCCTTAATATAGAAACTTCATCAAAATGTGGCATCAACAAAAAGGCGCCATCTACGAAAGACCAAAAAAAACCACTTGAAAAAATGAGCAATAACCACCCAGGAAACAGAAATAGAATGACAATTTCATCCACAAATTGCGCAAAAGAATGTCACATTGATGACTTGCATAACCCGAGCAAAAGGAAAGTGCCCAAAATGAACAAATGGAGGCAGAATGATGGAACCTTAAGCAAAGTAGCATAATTCTTCACTTAACAGGAACTCACTGGATGAAAACTAACTACATAATAACTACACTTCATAATTTGATAAAACATCTAGTGGAATTCAAAAACACATACTTCAACAAAATCAGCCAACTTAAAACATAATATGTCAATTTATAATGGGATCTTTAAATAATAATAGATATCATAACAACGAAGATACCTATAAAATCAAGCACAAGAATAAATCCAATGATTGGGTATAAATAACCAACATTGATAAAATCAATCTAAATACACCTATAGACATTATTTGTTTCTTTGTTTTTCCTCCTTCTGTCGTTGGTTAATTAAGAGAAACAATAGAAAATCCGACAAAGAAATCAACCTCATAGACTTGTATTCCTCTATGTTACATTTTCAATTAGCTAGGAATGTGGACATGAGGTCTTTCGGAAGGTATACCAAGTACGAATCTTAGAATTCTTCAAACAACAGATAGATTTTGATCTTTTAATGTCCTATTTTTGCACGCTTCATTCCACTGGTATTAAAAGGTGAGACGCTGTCACCTGGTCCAGGACTCTCTTCTTTGAAATTTGAATTTAGCAGGGCTAGTTCATGCAATTGCTGCCTTTCCTGTACAAAAATGAAAACATAGTAATGGATTATTCTTAATATGCGTGATTTTACATGTTTCAGCTTGTGTAGTTCTGGTCAGCAATTCGACAGATTACCATTTGTGTCGTTACTGGGTAGTGAATAGCTCAAAGAAACGAAATTGTCTGATTTTTCAAAGAAAGATTGGTTAGAGATTAATACCACAGGTCTGACCAGTTCTTCTATTATCTCTTGTGCTTGCCTCAGTCTGATATCAACAACATTAACAGGTAAATCATCCTCAACCAAGATGTGGAAAGGTTCATTCAAATGTTCATAACCTGGCCGTCCCCATAGTTTTTCTTCCTTAACATTGACAGGCACAAAGTGAATCAAATACAGTTAGTAATTTAAGACAAAAATAATTAAGTGGCTATAAGTATGAATCTCTAGAATGAATTATACAATACCGTCTCTAATTACGTCAACATAATAGGTGTTTCAGCTAGATTTTGAAGTCAATATATTAGATTAACAATTATAATAATTTGGAGGAACAAAGAATTTAAGCCTCAACTTCGTGAGGGAGTTGGGTCAAACAAAACGTTACTGCAAAAAATTCATATAGTCAACTCTTAAGATTATTGAGAATAAAGTTAACCTTGAATACAAGCTTGCCCTTTTTCCTTTCCATTGAGGTTTACAATTATAATGTTTGGCTGCTGGGAATCATTGCAAAAGCATGTATCATAGCATAGCCATTCAAAGAAGTTGCCAAAAGTTAAAGAGCAAAAAGTAAACAAGAAATCTAAGAATTATAATGTCTAACTTGCAATGCACTCATCAAAAGTTTGTTGATGTAGTCCTTTGTTGAAGATGTCTGTTGATATTTAGTTGGAACATATATCATACAAATAGTTCCATTTTCAACTTTTTCCTTAATGAATTGTCTGTCTACTTCTATATGTTTAGTTCTGTCATGTTGAACTGGGTTGAGAGAGATGTTGATAGCTACTTTATTGTCGCAGAATAGTTTGATTGGACTCTCACAGTGACTTTTAATTCTTCTAAGAGTTTCTTAATCCACAATCCTTCACATATATTCCTTGGGTAGCTGCTCTAAATTTTATTTTAGTACTGCTTCTAGCTGCTACATTCTATTTTTTACTTCTCCACTTACTAGGTTTCCCCATACGAAAGTACAGTAGCCAGTAGTTGATCTTCTGTCTTCTATTGATCCAACCTAATCAGAATCAGTGAATACTTCTACTTCCTTCTTCCCATCTTTCTTAAAGAGCAGGCTTTTTCAAGGAGAACCTTGCATGTATTTTAGAATCTCATATATTGCTTCTAGATGAGCTTCCTTTGGCGAATGCATCTAATCGTTGATACCTATCTTTCTCAATACATTTTTCACTGTCATCTATTTTCTTACTAGCATCTATAGGATTTTACTTGGCTTGCATCCAAGCATACCTGTTTCAATTAGTAAGTCCAGAACATATTTTCCTTGTGAAACACTGATGCCCCTTTTTGATCTGGCTACTTCTATCCCACAAAAAATATCTCATTGATCCCAAATTTTTCACTTCAAATTCAGTACCTAGATTTCTTTTTAGTCTTCCCATCTCAATTGTATTGTCTCTAGTAAGGACTATATCATCCACATATATGATCAGAATAGCTTTTGTCCCATCTTCAAATAATTTGAAAAACATAGTGTGATCTGACTGAGCTTGTTGATATCCCTGATTTCTTAACACTCTTGCAAATCTATCAAACCATGCTTGAGGAGACTATTTGAGCCCATACTGTGATTTTTTAAATTTACATACCCTATTGTCTCCATTCTTTGTACAAAAGCCAGGCTGTAGTGTTATGAAGACTTCTTCATCCGACATACCATTCAAGAATGCATTTTTTTTTATGTCAAGTGTTGGAGTGACCAATCCAAATTTGTTGCTAGAGATAAAAGTACTCAAATTATTTTCAACTTTGCTATAGGTGCAAACGTTTCTGTATAATCTATATCATAGGCCTGAGTATACCCTTTTACAACCAGACGACCGTTGTACCTTTTGATTGTCCCATCTGCTTTGTATTTTACATTAAACACCCATATGCACCCTACAGACTTTTTCTTTTGGTAGTTCCATCACATCCCATGTTTCATTTCCTCTAAAGCCCTCATTTCTTTTATCAAAGCTTCTCTCCACTTGGAAATTTCTAAGGCTTTCTGGATTTTTTTTAGAATTTTTGCACTTTTAAGGTTAGAGATGAAATTTTGAAATCTTGGAGATAAGGCTTTATAGGCTATGAATTTAGATATATGGTGTATGGTGTATGATCGAGTTTGTTTCTTGAAAACAATAGGCAGGTTAATGCCAAAGGTTTCAGAGGTGGTTACCTGAACATTTGGATCTATTACCGGTTCTGCCTCTTTTTGTGCCTCGAGTGTGAGGTCTCCCTTATACTTTGACTTCGACTTCCTTGAGTAGTCTAACGTCTCTTTGTTA